GTCACATAGAAGTAGATAGGAAAAAATGTATACGCAGACAGACTACGAGGTTTTCGGCTTTCCGATAAGGAGCTCTCCCAGGGTAAACGTTTTCAGAAGTTAAGTGCGCGTTCGACAGTTCGACCGCTGTGACCGACTGTGTCCACCGTGAGCTTCACAGCAAGGTGAAAGCAGGGACGGTGAGTTGCGCGTGAGTTAGCTTAGAGTGATAGTAGGCTTGCACTGCATCTACCGCACACTCTCCCCCGCCCACCACCTGGGCCCGTGCCAATACAGAGTCAAGACGACCGGAGGTGGGAGAGGGCACGGGTGGCTGGAGCGGTGAAAACCCGCACGTAGGCGTACCACCTGGCCTACGACGTATACTGATCAGATCTTTGTACAAACATCTAAGAGGGGGCTACCCGGACGCAAACTGGTGTGACGCGAGCCTGCATCTGGGCGTGCCACTACACCCCAGTGTTGGTATTTGTTTTGGGTGCGCATCCCCCACAACGTCTGCCGCAGTCTGATCTATCCCCTGTGTTGGTCCAACGCATCGATCGCGTAGTCCGTTTTATGGGACGACTTGCCTACAAGGTAGGAGTTTGGAGGTCATAAGAGCGTCTGCTGGAGGTAAGATATTGACATTCTCAGGGTTCCGACCAGTGGAGGAACATCTTCTGAGGTTCCTTACTCCTCTCATCCCACTGTTGAAGAAGAGCGTGAAAATGTTAGTTCATTTTGCCAGGTCCCTTCCTCTTGCTCCCCAGCCACCTACACCCTACGACAACTGTGTCCAGCGGAGGTTTTTGAGGATTGCACTAGAAAAGACCAACATCTCTTTTAAGGAGGACTCGCTTTTACGGACTGCCAAGAGCTCTCGACTGTTGGTGACATAGACTTCAGTCGAACTGCTAGAGTAGGTTACAAATATATTATTCAGGGCTCAGGTTATTTTTGCAGATCAACAAGCACGGATTGTCTGTTAGAGGGGCCTGAATGTCACAAAACCGACGAGAAAGTGCCCCAACGTCTATTATTCAGACTTTACGGTCAGATGTGGTTATGTAGTCACACCCGAGGTAAACAAACCCCAGACACCTGCAATACGGAACCGGTTATAATAGGGGTTTTTACAAGTTGGGCCGGGGAACGCAAAGGCGACGAGGTCAAATAGTTGTATGCAAAAGAAAAGCTGTTGGAAAGGCGCGGTTATACTTTGAGTGGTTGAGAAATAGTCGCCCTAAATCCTAACCCTAACGCTTAACCGCAGCCACAAACCCTAGCCCGGAAACATCCAACGCGAAAGTTAGAAGGAGACGACAGGCCGAAAGTCAGGAAGGACCACCGGCATTGGACCGAAAAAGGTAAACGCGGCAGCAAAGAAACAAGGCCACCAAAAGAACACACACTGCAACGCACAGCAACACCATGCCAACGTCATCATACCAGCTCAAAATAATTAAGTAGGTCAACAGTATTGTGTCCATCTGGTGCGGCTACATAACCATATCTTACCGACTTTATTTTTGTAAGGAGTCAGTGGTTCGGCTAAATAAGAGTTTCGACAAGTAGTTCTGCGATATTCTAAGGTTGGCTTTAGCATCTGGCCGGACAAAACTCCCGTATTCTATTCGTTACCCGTGTTCGGCCAAATGTTCAATATCGCTAACTGGTGTGGCCATCGTTACAAGTTAGCGCTGAGGAAAATCCGGTGCCAAGCTGACCTATTTGTGAAATCTCCAAGTCGACGGCTAGAATTGAAACGCCTTGTGAAAATTTTTCCACATACCGACAAAGTGTCTTCGTGTTGTCCCAGCCGAAGCGTGTGGGATTGTTCGGGGGGTAGACGAAGTTGGCTCTAATCTAGTTTTATAACCCAAATCACAAAGTACATCTCCGAGGGCAGCCACGCAAGTTCTACAAGCCCAGGCTAGACACGGCGCCTAGGTGGCCTAGTTTTGGCGGTGAGTCAGTAATCCGCGAACTAAAGTCCCTGAGGCCGTAGCCGCTGTAGCACTCGTTTGACCTAGTTTTGGGACCAGCTGGTCATACCGCACAGCTGCATCTGCGTGCAGCTCTGGCCCCATCATAAATCGATACTTTTTCCGCCTGCTCAATTCAAAAATAGTAAAAATACGAAACAACTCAAAAAACTCTAATGAGTAAAATTGCAGCTGTCCTTTTCTTTTCCATTATTAAAGAAATAAAATCTTCGTCACTTCTTCCTATTACCCGTTTTCTAGGGGGTGTACACAGGGTGTTCGCTTAGGGGGTACACCATGCAGGAGTACCCAGGTCGTTCCACGGGCCTAATTGCTCCCCTTGACCCTTGACTGGGACCCAACTCCCATTTGGGACTTTAAGGTCCTGTGTCTTGCTCACTGGGCACGTCCCAGCAACCGTTTTGACCAGCGAGATAAACCAGATGAGGGTATCCGGTATGTTTGTCTCCACACCCCGTATTCCTCCCCTCCCCTGTTCCACCCTCCTTCTTCCTCCCCAACACAAAAGAGCCTGCGGAAAGAGTGATGGCGCTCCGGCGGCAACATGGGTTACTTTGGATTGTCTAAACACTAACCCGAGTTTTTACCGGTAGTGGCCTGGGACGGCCGCCTGGGATAAATAAGCAACCCTATCTATGTGGTGGCACTGCATACCCCCTCTCAGGCGAAGAAGACATAAAAGTCCCCGGCGAGGTTTGGTCCTGCAGCCCCACCTGATTGATACTGTATGGTTAGCTAACTAAAACAATGTTAGATAGCATACCTAACTTAGCCGCTTGCTGGATTAGGGAGGGAAGGAGAGTGCTAGCAGAGCTCCAATCACCCGCAGGGAAGCGAGTGAGGGTGGCATGTAAACACACCGCGACACAACCACTTGCTGGATTAAGAGGATAAGGAGGGCGCAATCACAACCGGAAGGTCACAGAAGGAACCGCGTGGTAATTCGCAGTGCATGGCCGCTGTTGTGGAACCAACGGAGTTCCACGCCGTCGGAACAATTCCATTAGCAATTCTACCTGGCCACTCGCTGGAGTGAGATAATAATGAGGGCGCAAGCAGGGTTCGAAGCACGCGCAGGGAAGCGCGTGTGAATTGGCACGTGAAGTATAAGCACTCCTTTCGCGTGGCACAGTCACTCGCTGGATTAAAATGGTAAGTGTTGTATCCAGCTGGTCAACGCTTGGAATTCTCCACGCCCTCCTCGCAAGTGCTTCCACATGTGGCCCCTGTTGACATTCCCCTTCCCCCTTTTTGTAACCGTCTTTCGAACGTGATCGGCGTTCTTTTAATTGACTAGTTCTTTTTGTATTCTGACCATGAGCTGGGAATCCGATTTGCTCGAGCAGTAGCAAAGGAATCCTTTGTCTAGGGTATCTATTGTTGAGGTTTGTACGTTTTTTATTATTACCTTATTCTATCAATAGTACCGTATATACACCGAAATTTGTTTTGGCCTATACGCGTAACTCAATTTACCAAGAATTCTACAGTACTCAGCATCGCACCATAAATTGGAGGAAATTACTTTCATCAAATGCAGACGCGTTCGATGAAGAATGAATCGGACGGTGCGTAACAGTTTCTCGAACTAGACAAGCCAGGTGCCTTCGAAGGACAAGGAGAGCTGAAGAAAGACGTCCAGTCCGGCACTTGTAAGAACGTTTCTATTAGTAGTCGTAGTTCCAGTAAAACAGTTAAAGCCTTAAGAATAACCGAACCAGAAGAGAGACGAGTTAAACGGAGGGGGGGGGGAGGGGTCGAACTCCAACGGGCTATTTTTGAGAGAAGGACCGAGCTTGCTAGGATAGAGGTAGAGACCGAGGAAGAGTTGTCTGATGACGACCGTCAACTCGTGCATTCCATCTTGCATGTCTCGGGATATTTGAAACAATGCACATTGAATGAAATTTCTCCCAAAGAGAGTAATAATTGACAACGTGAGAATGTTGATATGCCGAAAGCAATTGCTAGGAGCCTGCCAGATATCAGTTTAGGAATGCCCAAGGTTGAGTTGTCCTGGTTTGATGGCAAACCCATTCATTATTGGAAATTTATACGACAGTTTGAAGTGTACGTCGAGAGCAAAGTTGAAGAGGTAAGATCGCAGTTGGTAGCCAGACATTATACGGTGATACTGTCGACGTACGTACTTGTTATCAGTAGGTTTGCTTACCGGGGTGTAGGGGTGTCAGCGGTGGGTTCACTTAATGGTCGTGGTGGTCGCTCACTTGCTTGAAGGTGAGACTGCGCCTAGCGTCCACTTGCTGGCACTCAACTCTCACCTGTGGCTCCAAGTAGCTGGGCTCTGCTCAGCGGCCACAGCCCGGGCAACCGTCTCGACCGGCGGGCTAAACCAGGTGAGGGGGCCCTGTGCGCTGTGCCGTGTGCACAGGGTTTGCGGATTCCGCTGGATGGAAGGTCGGATGGAACCTTGCGTCTGCACCGTCGTGACGTGGTTCGTCTCTGCACGTCGCTGGACAGCCGGTGACGGGATGGATCTCCACATCGACATCGCCTTGACGCGCCCACCCTCGCCGACGGAGACCGCGGCTTACGGCGAATTCGAGTCGCTCTCCACTACAACCCGAAGTCGTGGTCCCATAGTGGAGTTCGGCCGTGCCACAACGGCACATGGCAGCCCTATTCAGGGATGGCACTGCCAGCACCCACGAGGGGAAGGGCCTAGAAAAGGTGGCCTAAACATTGCTGGGTACCACGCCGTCTCCAGGCTAGCCAGGGCCGCAGACGTCTAAACATGGTCGAAACAATCAAAATCGAAACAACAACAATACCAATAACAACAACAACCATACTCCTTCTCCTCATCCTACCTGTTCTTCCTCTTCCTCTGCCTATTCTTCTCCTTCGTCACCTTCTTCTCCATCTCCTTCCCGTTGCCCCACTCGTTGTCATCAGACTGGCAGGGTGAGTCCGCTCACTCTGGCAGCCTGGAATGTTCGTTCCCTTTTAGACAATCCGAGGAGCAACCGACCGGAACGAAGGACGGCGCTAATGGCACGAGGACTGGCGCGCTACAAGGTGGACATCGCCGCACTCAGCGAGACCCGATTCTCCGAACAAGGCCAACTGGAGGAGGTGGGTGCCGGCTACACCTTCTTCTGGAGCGGTCGACCCAGGGCAGAGCGACGGGACGCGGGTGTCGCCTTCGCCATTCGGAAAAACATCGTGGGACGACTGCCCTGTTTGCCGCAGGGCATCAACGATCGCCTGATGAGCCTCCGCCTGCCTCTCTGGGGAGGCAAATTCGCCACCATCGTCAGCGCCTACGCTCCGACGATGACCAACCCCGACGCCGTCAGAGACAAATTCTACGAGGACCTGCACGCCCTCTTGGCGACTGTGCCGAAGGCGGACAAGTTGGTTGTCCTTGGCGACTTCAACGCCCGCGTCGGCACAGACCATACTGCCTGGAGAGGAGTGCTGGGTCCCCACGGTCTCCGCGGCTCAAACGACAATGGTCTGCTGCTGCTCCGCACCTGCGCAGAACACCGCCTCATCCTGACGAACACGATCTTCTGTCTGCCGGAGCGAAAGAAGACCACTTGGAGGCATCCTCGGTCGCGTCAGTGGCACCTGCTGGACTATGTCCTCGTCCGGAGGCGAGATCAGCGGGATGTGCTGGTGACAATGGCGATAGCGGGTGCTGACGGGTGGACCGACCATCGCCTCGTCATCTCGAAGATGCGTATTCGCCTACAGCCTCGCAGGAGACCACAAGGTAAGCGACCCCCAGGTAAGCTGAATGTTGCCTTGTTGTCTTTGCCCGCTCACCGTCTCCATTTCAGCAATGAGCTAGCTCAACGGCTAGACAACCTTCCTATTGCTGCCGCCGACGACGCCGCCGCTGCCGAGAACGCCTCCGTGGAGAACCGCTGGCGTCAACTGCGAGACACGGTCCAGTCGACGGCACTCGCCGTCCTCGGTCGCGCTCCCCGCCAACACCAGGACTGGTTCGACGACAACGACGCCGCCATCAGAAATCTGCTTGCTGAGAAGAACCGCCTACACAAAGCCTACGTAGATCACCCCACTGATGCCACCAAAGCTGCCTTCTACCGCAGTCGCCGCCAACTTCAGCAACGACTGCGCGAGATGCAGGACGCCTGGACTGCTCGCAAAGCTGAGGAGATCCAAGGGTACGCGGACCGCAACGAATGGAAGAACTTCTTCTCCGCGATCAAAGCTGTCTACGGTCCGCCGACGAAGGGCACTGCTCCTCTCCTCAGCGCCGACGGCAACACTCTCCTGACTGAGAAGACGCAAATCCTGCAGCGATGGGCCGAGCATTTTCGAGGCGTCCTCAACCGCCCCTCCGTCATCTCCGACGCCGCCATCGAGCGCCTGCCGCAAGTGGAGACCAACGTGGACCTCGACCTCCCGCCATCTCTCCAGGAGACCATCAGGGCCGTGCAGCAGCTCTCCAGCGGGAAAGCACCCGGATCGGACGCGATCCCTGCTGAGGTCTACAAGCACGGAGGTCCCCAACTAATGGATCACCTGACTGCGCTCTTCCAAGAGATGTGGCATCAAGGTGAAGTCCCGCAAGATTTCAAAGACGCAACCATCGTGCATCTCTACAAGCGCAAAGGGAATCGCCAAGTCTGCGACAATCACCGCGGCATCTCCCTGCTGAACATCGCCGGGAAGATCTTCGCTCGCATCCTTCTCAACCGCCTCAATAATCATCTGGAACAGGGCCTTCTGCCGGAAAGCCAATGCGGCTTCCGTCGTCATCGTGGGACCACGGATATGATCTTCGCCGCCCGCCAACTTCAGGAGAAGTGTCAGGAGATGCGGACCCACCTGTACTCCACCTTCGTGGACCTGACGAAGGCCTTCGACACGGTGAATCGTGAAGGACTGTGGAAGATCATGCAGAAATTCGGCTGTCCGGAGCGATTCACTCAGATGGTGCGTCAGCTGCACGACGGTATGATGGCGCGAGTCACGGACAACGGAGCTGTCTCAGAGGCATTCGCAGTGACCAATGGAGTGAAGAGGGCTGCGTACTGGCGCCTACCCTCTTCAGTCTTATGTTCTCTGCCATGCGGATGGACGCCTACCGCGACGAACGCCCCGGGATCCGCATCGCCTACAGGACAGACGGTCACCTCCTGAATCAACGGCGGATGCACTTCAAATCGCGCGTATCCATAACCACCGTGCACGAACTCCTCTTCGCCGACGACTGCGCCCTGAACACCACCTCGGAAGAGGAGATGCAGCGGAGCATGGACCTGTTCTCCGCCGCCTGCGAGAACTTCGGTCTGGTCATTAACACGCAGAAGACGGTGGTGATGCACCAACCGCCACCCAACTCAGCCACAGCCCCCAACGCGCCGCCGCAAATCAACGTGAACGCAACTCAAATGCAAGTGGTGGAGAACTTCCCGTACCAGGGCAGTACTCTCTCCCGCAACACCAAGATCGACGACGAAGTCGCCAACAGGATCTCGAAAGCCAGTCAAGCCTTCGGTCGTCTCCAAAGCACAGTTTGGAATCGTCATGGTCTCCAACTGAGCACGAAGCTGAAGATGTACAAGGCCGTCATCCTGCCGACGCTACTTTACGGAGCGGAGACTTGGACGGTGTACGCAAAGCAGGCACGTCGTCTGAACCACTTCCACCTCAGTTGTCTACGTCGAATCCTGAGGCTGAACTGGCGGGATCGAATCCCCGACACTGATGTGCTGGAACGGACGGGAATCCTCAGCATCTACGCCATACTAAGGCAAATGCAGCTGCGCTGGAGCGGCCGCCTAGTGCGCATGGACGACGAGCGACTACCCAAACGACTCTTCTACGGAGACGTCGCGACGGGTTCTCGCCGTCAAGGAGGCCAGATTCGCCGTTACAAGGATACCCTGAAGTCCTCCCTGAAATGCCTGCAAATCAACCCCACCAACTGGGAGGAGCTCGCACTCGATCGACCGACCTGGAGGAGAACAGTGAAGACAGGCGCTGCGATCTACGAAGCCAACCGCATCGCTGCCGCCAAAGCGAAACGTGAAGCCCGCAAATCACAACTTCGCCCAGTAAGCAACGCCGCGGCACAACCGCTTCCAACGTGTCCTCGATGTCAACGGACATTCCGGGCTCGAATCGGACTTGTTGGACATCTTCGGATTAACTGCGCCTCTCGAACTGCACCAACCATCGTCCCCCCGCCTGCCTCTTCCTCCTCCTCTCCGCCGCCAACTAACCCTGACAATTCTTCTGACCCACCACTTCCATCATCCTCCTCCTCCTCCTCCTCGCCCACTGCTCCAACGGCGGCCGCTCAGGCGACTGTCCCACGCACAGCAACCGACACTACCACCACCTCCCTCGACTCCAGGGATGAGGATCAGGACTATACCTGCCTTCACTACGACCGTACCTTCACCTCACACATCGGCGTGGTCGGTCACTTGCGAATCCATCGCACAGAGCCTGGCGAACCAGTGCATGAAGCACCAACCTACACCCACCGCACTCGCCTCCACTGCCCACACTGCCCTCGCACCTTCAGGCATCGCATGGGCCTTTTCGGCCACATGCGCATCCACGAGAGCGGCCTTGACCGCACTCCCGACACACCCACTACATCCAACACATCCACCGTGCACACCCCCACTCTCGTTCCATCCGTCCGCGCCACCACCACCACCACCACCACCACCACCACCACCACCACCACCGCCTCCTCTGTAGCTGACACTGACACCGCCGACTTCTCATGCCCACACTGTCCACGCACATTCACCTCACGCGTCGGCCTGGTCGGTCACTTGCGAATCCATCGCACAGAGACTGGCGAACCAGTGCCTGGAGCACCCACCTATACCCACCAAGCTCGGCTCAACTGCCCACACTGTCCTCGCACTTTCAGGCATCGCATGAGCCTATTCGGCCACATGCGCATCCACGACGACCTGCGGTAGACAACCGCCGGCCACACCACACATTCACTCACTCCCTACCTCCTCCACCACCACCATCACCCCACCAGAAATCAACACTCACGCAAGTGGGAAGTCCGCATCTCGACTCGGTCCCCATGCGGCTTCGGCTGCACGGGTGACTTGAGTCCGAGACTATCCCGACACGTCAAGCGTCGTGGATAGGAAGGTTGCTGATTGACGCCCGCTCTCGGTTCATGCAGTTCGTCGCGTTGTGTGTGTGTGTGTGTGTTGTGTGGAGTGGCGGACTTGTGGGCTGGGGACGGGCTGAAACTGCACCTTCCACGGCACTCTCACGCAAGTGAGAGACACGCCGTTCAACCCCCGTTGTGTGAAACCCTGGTGTCTGTGTGTGTATGGGGGGCCAGGTCGTGCTGTGGCGCGCGCAGGCATGGTCAGTCGACCATGTCAGCCACCGCGCCCATCCACCACTCCAGTCTACTGACCGGCTCGGACAGTGGCTGGGGTGTGGGAATGGGAAGGGAGAGTGAGGTCGACGACTCAGCGCACTTTCTCCTCACTATAAACAGTCTGACGCACTTGAAGCTATCACGGTGCGCTAAAAGCCGTGGCTTGGATGGTTGCCAACTGACGGGGTAACTTGGACCTCCTCCTTGACGGGAGGCGGTCTGAGAGTCAGGCTGCAATGGCTCCTTTTTAATGTGGCCTTTATGGCATTCCCACCACAGCGTGGGATCCGAGCCAGGCGTTGGCGGCACGCCCAGGTGCGGCTTCGGCCGTGCCAGCCTCCAAATCTCTCTTGTGTTGGTTGAAATCCTGGTTATTTGTTGTGTGGACCAGGGGGTGTGATGGAACGCCAAAGTGAGGATCCATCCGAGGCATCCACCTGCGGCCTCTCTCGTCTCCGGTCTTCTTGACACTGTCTTGACACCGGGCTCGGACGAGGGAGGAGGAGAGAGTGTAGGTAGATGCTACGCAAGTCTACCGGCACTATAAACCCCTGCGTAAGTCACCGTCCCTGCTCCCATTGCTGCTGCAACTGTGGGGCACACGGTGGACATCATCGAAACCGATGGTCGAACTGTCAGGTGTGCTTACCTTGTCAAGGGAACTTGTTATCCGTAGGTGTGCTCTTACTGAGTTATGCCGGTCGTCCGTTTCGGTCAGCCTTTTGGGTTTAATGAGGGTTAGGCGTAGGCTAAGTTTTAGGATTGGAGTTTGCGTTTTAAGGTGAGGTTTCAGTGTTAGGGTTAGGGTTTAGGTTCCCGTTAGGGTTACGGTTAAGGTAAGGGTTAGGGTTAGGGTTAAGGTTAGGGTTGGGGTTAAAGTTAAAGTTAGGGTTAAGGCTGGGGTTAGAGTTAACGTTAGGGTTAGGGTTGGGGTTAATGTCAGGGTTAGGGTTAAGATTAGAGTTAGGGTTAAGGTTGGGGTTAGGGTTAAGTTTAGGGTTAGTCATAATGTTAAGTTTAGGTTTAGGATTAAGTTTATGATTATGATTAAGGTTAGGCTTTGGGTTAAGCTGAGGGTTAGTGTTAAGGTCAGGGTTACGGCTAAGGTTTGGCTTAAGGTTAGGGTTAGGTGCAGGGTTAAGTTTAGAGTTAAGTTTAGGGTTAGTTCTATGCTTAGGTTTAGGGTTAACTTTTGGGTTTGGTTTAAGGTTAGAGTTAGGTTTACTTTTGGGTACAGGGTTAAGTTTATGGTTAAGGTTAATGTTGGGTTTAGGGTTAAGTTTAGGCTCAATTTTAGGGCTGGGTCTATGGCTAAATTTTGGGTTAGCGTCGGGTTTTAGGATTTTGTTTACATTTTGGTTTTGAGGCCTTGCTGTAGGCTTTGCGGTTTCACTCAGCGTTGCATTTTAGGGTTAATTTTATGGTTTAAATTTCTGCTATTATTCCATCTCGTTAAAACTTCCTAACACTTTCTCTGATAACTTTACTTTTTCTCATAACCTCCAGCATTCCTCTTCCAGCCCTTCGATTTATCCCACCCATATGGCCCGCTTTCCCACCCTTTCCGTAGGTCAGGGACCTGGCTCTCCGCCTCCCCATTCCTGGATACCAACTGCGATCTAACCGTTGAAGATGTTGGACAGAGGCTTCTGTACTTGATTCACTATTGCAGATGTGATGCGAGAACGGCCATAGAAGAGTGCGTCATGCCACCCTCACCGTTAGCTTATTCAAGAGCACGGTAAATATTGAACAGCTTATTTGGCCAGCCACATGTAGTGGCTAATGCCCTTCTGAACGGTGTCTTTAGACAGGCACGCCAAGTTAACCAGACTGCAAAGGCACTCTCAGACTTGTGCATAAAAATGAAAGTTGTGAAATAGCGCGTGCATACGGTGCAGTAGCATATGCTCTCTTTATTAACGGCACAGGAAGTCTACATTGTTCACTCGTTTATTCGAAAGCGCGCGTTGCACCCCTCAAAGCCGTCACTATACCACGTTAAGAGTTGGCAGCTGCTACTCTGGCTGTGCGCGTGACTGATCTCATCCGGCCAAGCACCGATAAGTACTTCCAAACAATAACTTTCTGGACCGATTCTATGATAGTCCTTTATTATACACACAATTAATCTACCAGGTTCTGCACATTTGTGGCCAACCGATTGACAGTTATACATGATCTGTCTGCAACCGCTCAATGGAGGTACGTAAGTTCAGACGTAAACCCAGCAGACATTGCTCCTCGAGGTATGTGCAACTTTGCGCTTGTACGTAAATGGTTGGACGGTCCGGAATTTTAGTTCAACCTGCGGGCGAGTGGCTTGTAAAACCTCCAGTAGGACAACCTGAAGACTTGGAATTCAAGAGGACAGCAGCCCAAGTTCATGTATTAAATCAATGTGGTGGTTTAGACAAATTAGTTATGCGTTTTTCAAGTTGGACAAGGCTACAAAGGGCTGTGGTCTGGCTCCTGCGTTTCAAGCAGTACATCAGAGTCACCACTGGCAAGGCACCTCAGGAGACGCTGATGCTGGGTCCTATCCGAGTATCCGAAATGTGCCAAGCTAGCATTAGCTTGATAAAGCTTATACAAAGGAAGCACTTTTCAGAAGACTTGGATATTCTTCAGTCTACACCAGCAGATTACCAGAAAAGAAAGTCCGTGAGAAATATTGGCCTGAGAAAATTATGTCCAGGTTTAATTGAAGGAGTAATGTGCGTTGGTGGTCGCCTGAACTACTCAAATTTTTGTGAATCGTTAAAACACCCGTCAATCCTCCCAGACAATCATCCCGTGACGGAATTATTCATACGTTACTTTCATGAATTGGAAGGCCATTGTGGGACAGCCCAAGTTCTAGGTGCAATCCGTCAAAAATTTTGGATTCTAAAGGGGACCGCTTCTGTCAAATGTGTCATCGATGGATGTTTACTTTGCAGATGCAAATTTCGACAACTTCAGGGGCAGATGATGTCCCCGCTTCCCTTAAACAGAGCAGAAGTTGGTTGGTATCCTTTCAAGTGCGTTGGGGTAGAATATTTTGGTCCGTTGATGGTCAAACGTGGACGATCATCGGAGAAACGCTATGGTTGTGTGTTTAGCTGCTTACAGACGAGAGCCGTTCATCTTGAGATAACTGCCAGCCTGACCACGAATTCTTTTGTTCAATTTCGGATGAGATTCGAGAGTAGACGCGGACGTCCCACTGACATCTACGGTGACAACGGAACCAATTTTGTTGGAGCAGTAGCGGAACTCCGAAAGAGCTTACTCAATTGGGACCAAAAGAGGGTGTCGGACCAACTGCTAACTATAGAGATACAGTGGTATTTTAACCCACCCGCTGCCAGCCATCGGAGCGGCATCTGGGAATGCATGATCAGGTCTCTACGACGAATTCGTCTTGCTCTCTGTAAGGAGCAGTCCTTGACTGACGAACAGCTCGGCACCCTCTTTGTGCAGGCTGAACGTATATTAAATAATAGACCGCTTGTCCCTCTAACATCAGACAGCAACGATTTGGAACCGCTTACCCCGAATAGCTTATTTCTGATGAGGAACTGTTCAGTGCTGCCTTGTGGTGACGAATTGGTGGCATGGTACTGTAGCGACTATGTGTGTGCACTCTGTACTCAGAGCGTTACTATCATCAGGCCAGATTCCAAGTCGTAAGGAGAAGACGGAAGAAACCAGAATGAGGGAGTTGTCCTCTCAGGCGACAGTGGCCACTGGCAAAGCCAGGGCTGGTGTTGACTGCGTCCAGTCAGACCTGAGAGTCCCTAAGATAGTGGTGGCAGCCGCTTTTGTAGGCTCGTGGGCCAAGCTGAAGTGGTGCCCAGTCAGTGTGTGTTGCATTTGCCGAGGGGTGGTGTCCCAGTGGCTTGTTTTGCTGGTTGCAGGGGGTGGCGCGTTCAAGTGGCCGCATGGGCAGTTGCAACTGCGCGGACGCAGGTATGCCCGAGCTGTTGGTCGCGTGACTTCAGGTCAGGCTCGTCTGGGACGGCTCGCTGCAAGGGGTGAATGACCTTGAGGCAGCGAGGTCTTGAACAATGACGCCAGACCAGTCATGATGGCTGGCCACTACAGTACCACAATACCACGTTGGATGGAAACGAGCACAGTACGTCGCTGGCGTGTTCTGGAGACGATGGGTAAAAGAATATCTCCCAAGTCTACAGAAAAGAACAAAATGGACAAGAGAAGCCGCGGAACTGAGACCAGGTGATGTTTTTTTAGTTTTCGAGGAGCGTAGATCTCGTGAGAATTGGCCTTTGGAAGTAATAGATACGTGCGAAAAGAGTCGAGACGGCCTCGTAAGGACGGTATAAATTAGAACGGCGGGCGGTCTCCTAAAAAGGGACGTTAGAACGATTTGTCTACTTGAGGGTCAGAGTAGCCGTATATCTCCAAACTCGTAGGTCGTTCTCAAGAGCCGGAAGTGGAAAATTGGCAGGCAGTGTTGTATCCAGCTGGTCAACGCTTAGAATTCTTCACGCCCTGCTCGCAAGTGCTTCCACATTTGGTCCCTGTTGACATTCCTCTTCCCACTTTTTGTAGCCCTCTTTCGAA